CACACACACACACACACACACACACTGGATGTGCGTGTGTGGGTCATGAATAGTCTGTGAACAGGGTTTGCAGAGAGGTCAGAGGAAGTGCAGGTTGTGGGTTATGCTTGCAGGGATTGTGGAGTGTTGTATTTGTGTTGGGTCTCAGAGGTTTTGCTTCTAGTGTGTCATCACTGAACAAACATTTTCAAACTGCAAAATGCAAAACACTCATTAGCCGTCCCTCCCTTTCATTTACGGTTTGTCTCGTTTTGTGTGCGTATTTGTAGTCGTCGTGTTTCGTGTGAACGAGCAGAGTTACTAATTACAGCCGGCGGGAACAGAGTCCCTGAATGTGTCTCCAGAGGGTGTGACGCAAAAACCCGGCTGACTTTATATCTTCTGTAGTAAACGTTGGTGTGAGTCAGATCTTAATTACAGTCGTCAACACTGTGATGAGCCGGTCAGAGAACTGAAGCTTTGACACTGTGAAGGAAGAAGATGTTCAAGTACAACAGTACATTTATCTTTTCATTTTCAAAATGTATGTGACATAAGAGTACAAGTACTAGTGTTACGTTTTAGAATTGTTACGTTCCACCACTCACCCTCAGAGAAGTTTTTCTACAGATGTCATCAGCTGATCAACCGTCTTACACAACAACACACAACAATGTGTTTGTGTAACCACACAAAAATGTCTTCCTGGACTTCAGGCTGTGGGACTTCAGCCTGTAACCTGTCCTGCTGTGTCTCTGTGCAGTGGCAGTGGGGAGGACTCGTTGGACCGGCTGCTGCCTCCTCTCGGGGCCCCTCGCAGGAGGAGCACTAACTCGCTGAGTACAACAGAGCCTCCTCTGCTGCGCACGGGCACACGCACCATCTACACCGCCGGCCGACCTCCCTGGTACGACGAGCACGGAGCTCAGTCTAAAGATGCCTTTGTCATCGGTATGAGACCCACTGGTTTTACTCGTCCTGACAGTTTCTTTCACTACCTTCATGTTGTGCTGCTGACCTCATATTCTCATTATGCCCCTTGAACACTTTCCTGCAATCGCACGTGCATCCCACCATCATCAGGTTCACCCTGAGAAGCAAACATAATGGCTCTTGTGGATCTGCAGGCTTGTGCGGGGGCAGCGCCTCAGGAAAGACCACCGTGGCCAATAAGATCATCGAGGCTCTGGATGTGCCGTGGGTCGTGCTGCTCTCTATGGACTCGTTCTACAAGGTGAGAGTCACTCACACCAAGCTGCACAAAATTACAGACACTGGTAGATGTCGTAAATATGCCGGATTGTTTTGTGTCAACGTCAAACCTCTCCTTTGAATCCAACATCCTGTGAACCTGAACATTATTCTGCTGCATGTTTACAGGTTTTATCTCCGGAGGAACAGACCCTGGCAGCGAGCAACGACTACAACTTCGATCATCCCGGGGCGTTTGACTTCGAGCTGCTGGAGGCCACCCTCAGAAAACTGAAGCAAGGCAAGAGTGTGAAGATCCCGGTGTACGACTTCACCACGCACGGACGACAGAAAGACTGGGTGAGTCCTGCGGAAAACTTCTCACTGATGATTTGAACTGGATTCACTTTTTCTCCGTAAACATGTTTTCCCTCATAAACTTGTTTCTCAAAGTGAAACTCTGCAGCTTTAATCTTTTAAACGGACTCTTCGTGCTGCAGCGTTCTGCTTTGAACCCTCCTCTTCCTCCTCTTTCTGCAGAAAAATGTTTACGGTGCCAGCGTGATTATATTTGAAGGAATTATGTCTTTCGCGGACAAAGAGCTCCTTCAGGTAAGCCGGTGTGTTTTCTTTTTGATGAATCCTTGTATCATCAGCAGGTATTGTTTGAGCAGCTGCAGCTTTTGCCGAAGTGAATTTTACCGAATCGTTCTCGGGCGTTTGCTCTTCCCACCTGCAGCTCCTGGATATGAAAATCTTTGTGGACACAGACTCAGACATTCGACTGGTCCGCCGGCTCCGCAGGGACATCACAGAGCGCAGACGGGACATTGAAGGCGTCATCAAGCAATACAACAAGTTTGTGAAGCCGGCCTTTGAGCAGTACATCGAGCCGACCATGAGGCTGGCAGATATCGTCGTGCCAAGAGGTGAGAGAAGATTTTCACCTCATCACGTTTCATACAGAGAACACAGCAGCAAACGCCTCTCACTGTGTTTCATTGTTTTCAGGTGGAGGGAATATGGTGGCCATCGATCTTATAGTCCAGCATGTTCACAGCCAGCTGGAGGAGGTGAGGGGCAGAAACACAGACAGACAGAGAGAGAGGGTGGCGCCACCATGTGTCCAAAAGGCGTAACACCAAACTGTCCAATAACCTAAAATCAGAGCTTCTCAGTCCCCTGGAGTTCAATATTTTTGAAGACTGGTGATCATATTGTAACAGGGTTTCTGCAGGGTCATAAAAAAAAAAGTTAAAATATCTTAAACCAGGATGATAAGGAATTAACAATGACTGATATCAGCAGCCTCATCATTTAAAATCCTTTATTTCTTCTGACTACCTTTATCTTATTGTCCTTCTCTTTATGCAGCGTGAGCTCAGTGTCAGGTACGCTGATCCACATTCTGACTTTGCCTTCTGTGATTTTGGTTTTCTTATTGTGACTCTGATCTCTCTGGTTCGTCTTTTGAGTTGACCGACTGGGTCTTTGTGATATTTCTCTGTCGTATTAACGTCAAACTGCTTCATTTGACGAGTGAGTGAAACCCTGACGATCTGAACAACCCGTCCTCTGTCCCCAGGGCTCTCCTGGCCTCCGCTCAGCAGACTCAGCCTCTGCCCCAGACGCTCAGTGTGTTGGAGAGCACGCCGCAGGTGCGGGGCCTGCACACCATCATCAGGTGAGCTGCCCTCCTCTGCAGCTTTGTGTCCATGCAGCAGTTCCCTCAGTGTGAGCGTAAAACACTTTATTTATGCTCTCCCGCAGGAACCAGGAAACCAGTCGAGATGAGTTCATCTTCTACTCAAAGAGATTAATGCGGCTGCTGATAGAACACGCTCTCACTTTTCTACCATCTCAGGTACTTCTGCTGTTTAAGTGGTTATCATCAATGTTTTTATGTTAACAATCGATCACTCGTCCTGCACTACCACGCTTCGCCATGTGAAACGTCTTCTTGTGGTGACGAGCCCACAGATAATTATCACCAGTAGTTTCCCCCCTCAGCTCTACAGAGTTTTACAGCCTCTGTCAGGTCGTTAATGTGCTTCACTTAGCTTCACTGTTGTGGTTCAGTCTCACTCATCTAATTGTTTTAAAACTGGAGCTGCTTTTTTTAATGAAAAGGCTCTGATGCTCCAACTGTACAAAACCTGCTCTGCTCCAAATGGCAGTTCGACAAAATCAGCGACATTTAGCAGCTCTCTCTCAGGTGTCGCCTGAAATTTCCATCCGTCCATTATCTATTCTGCGTCGTGCGGTTGCAGCCAGCTCCAGCGGAAGTTGGGCGAGGCTACACCCTACACAGGTCTCCAGCATGTGGCAGACATACAAAGACAAAAATCAATCATACTCACATTTGCAATTCAGAGTCTCCAGTTAGTGTTTGGACTGAGGGAGGAGCAGGAGTATCTGAAAAGAACAAACAACAATGCAGAAGAGACGAGGACATTATGCAAACTGTAGATTTCTTATGGTGATGTTGCTGGATGTGCAAATAAGAAACTGTCAAGGTGATGGTTTGTGATGTGTTCACAGATTGTTGTCAGTGTCCCCATGTGGTTTCTGCTCGAGATCATTATAATAATCACACTGTTTTCAAAGCGTCATTACTGTTTTTACTTAATCTGCGTCCGTGCACATCGTTTCTAAAATCAAAGCTTTTAAGCAGGTAACTCAGAAATGATTGAGAAATAGTTTTTAAACAGTAACAAGCCAACAATGCGCCTGAGAAAAATAAAAGTGTCTGAACACTCATTGTGATGCACTGCCTGTTGTGTCTGAGACAAAGTTCAAGTCGCTGCTCGTTGGTTTTCTAAACCACAGCCGCCTGGAAAGTATCTTAAGGGAGCAGATTTTGTTTTAGTTTGTTAAAACTCTTTTCTTGTGTATCCACTAACAGGCGTGTGTAGTTCAGACTCCACAGGGCCATGAGTACGAGGGCCGCAGCTACAACGGGAGAGGGGTGAGTGATGCTCTTGTTTTACAAGGTCTTGTTAACTTCCAGTCGGATTGTGTCCTCAGGGTTTTTGTCATCGCATTCGTCCCCACAGATCACCGGTGTGTCCATCCTGCGGGCAGGAGAGACCATGGAGCCCGCCCTGAGGGCCGTGTGCAAGGACGTCCGCATCGGCAAGATCCTCATCCAGACCAACCTCGACTCAGGCGAACCAGAGGTAGATATGAATGAGATAGATGAATATCTTTACTGTAACTGTGCTCAAGATGCGAACGTGTGTTACATTTTTGTCGGATCACATGAGATAAAAGATGAAAATGTTTCTTTTCTTGTTTTTTTTTATTTATTTTTATTCTTCCACATGATGTGTCTCCGTGGTAACTACCCTTCCTGATTTTGTAACCATGGTAACCTGTCTCCTCCTCTCTGGCCTCGCCAGCTGCATTACCTGCGTCTGCCCAAAGACATCAGTGAAGATCATGTCATCCTAATGGACAGCACAGTGTCCACCGGCGCTGCTGCCATGATGGCGGTACGAGTCCTGTTGGTGGGTGCAGATTAACATCATTACTCGTCAGTAAGAACAGGACCCCCCCCCCCTCACCTCTTTGTTCTGGTGACGGTTGATTAGCTGCAGAGAGAAATGTCAAATAATTTCTTCCCTTTGCTTTCTACTTTAATTATTCTCCTGTTAATGATAATTATGATAAAGCAGGTATTTACAGTTGTCACCGTGTGTGTGTGTGTGTGTGTTTGTGTGTGTGTGTGTGTGTGTGCTCGGCTGAGCAGGATCACGAGGTACAAGAGGATAACATCATGTTGGTGTCGCTGTTGATGGCAGAGCTCGGGGTTCACTCTGTAGCCTATGCCTTCCCGAAAGTGAAAATCATCACCACCGCCGTGGACAAGAGTCTGGACGATAATTTACATGTAATTCCTGGTATCGGTAAGACAACACGCACTCCAACACGTTTTTATAACTTTACAGCAGAATCAGAGCACATCTGTCACAGAGTTTGTCCAAAGTAGAACTCATGTGCCTGTTTCAAGACTCTCAGCCTTTGACGAACTTTGTATAAAAGTCACGTCATGATCTTTTCAGCCTTCACAACTGTTTTAGTTTTACCCAGGAAATAAAAAGTAACCAGGGTCTTTGCTGCAGATGACAGAAAATAAACATCTGTGTTTCGAGCTGACAGATTTCATTTCATGTCCCAGCAGATTCTAATTTTATGCCTGTGTCACTTCAAACTCTTCTCTCGATCACTTCTGTAACTAAACGGCACAGTATCAGATCGAGCAGTCTCTTTTCTGTGGACACAGATTATTACATTAAGATGAATATTTAATGTGGTATGTTATATCAGTGGATTGTTTAGTTTGAATAATCAATCAAACATTATGTATTCTAGTTGTGTTTTTATTGTTTTCTTTGGACACATGTCTCTGAGTCCACTGTTGTGTGTTTTCAGGGGACTTTGGGGACCGGTACTTTGGGACAGACGGGTTGGACACCTGGAGCGATGACGAGGACGGAGAGCAGCCGTCATACTGACATGAACATCTGTGAGCCTCCGTGAAAGAAAATACAAACTCTACTTGAAAACTTCTCTTATTGTTCAACAGTCACATTCACTTTTCTGTGTACTGTGCAGTAACTTTTATACTGTGTACGCACGAGGGATGTTCTGCTCTGTTTACAACTGAGGGTTCATCGTGAATATTTTCATACTCACAGGATCACATAGGTCAAACAGTGCCATTACCTTTAAAGGAACAATAATGCAGCAACAACAATACACTAAATTAATTTACTCTGGACTGAGTTGCACCATAGACTGTAAATAAAGATGGAGGACGTATCTCCACCTACTCTCACGATCCAGAAATAAAGGGAATGGATATGAAGGCTGCCATCTTGTGCATGTGGAGCCAGAGTCTGTGCTGGGATATTTAATAACTAATTAAAGGTTCAGTGTGTAGAATTTAGTGACATCTAGTGGTGAAGTTGCTTATTGCAGCTGAATACCCCTCACGTGACCCTCCCCTTCCAAACATGAAGGAGAAGCTGTGGTAACATTCAGTTGTCTGGGCTATGGTCAAAAACATGGCGGCCTACGTAAAGAGGACCTGCTCCTGAGGCAAATATATAGTATTTAAACATAAAGGTCCGTTCTACGGTAAAGAAAACAACAAATCATACAATTTAGATGAAAAACATTAGTGAAAACATCACTAGGATTATTTTATATTAAATAAATATCTTTCACGTAAATCTTACACACTGGAACTTTAAAACCGAACCTACCGGAAAAACTTGAACAAACATCAGTGTGAAAAATTCAGCCTAAAATACAGGAACTGTCTTATTTTCTTTAACTTTTTTGTTTGGTCCATGTCCTATCCACTAACATGGAGTAGGTGGCTTTTATGACCTATAATGCAACCAACCACCAGATGGCGATGGGGATGCTTTGGCTTCACTTTTGGGGGCTGTCTCCTCTTGCATCTTTACTTAGAGTCTTGGTTTGCAGCCGGAAGTATTAGTTGGTAATTAATCGAATGAGGTTGCACCATTAAAACTTAAGGAATATTGTGACGAGTTAGGACTCGAGTAAAGTGTGTGTGTGCTCTGTTTGTGTGCTTTGAGCTAACATCATGCTAACATGTAAACCTGTGAAACTTGAATGTAATGTTTATATATGAAGGTCGTGAACTGAAGCTAATGCACGACTACGCAAGGTTTAGATTTTAGGAATCGTTGGTGCAACCTGCTTATGAAAATGTTCTCAGGCCTTGTCTGCACTACTGTGGATATTTTTTGAACAGAAACTTTCACTACTTTCACGTTTTGTTTAAAAAAAAAAAAAAAAAAATCTCCGTCCACATGACCTTCGTCCAAAAGAGAACGCAAAAACAACTACAAACGTTCCTACAAGCATGCCGGGCCAGTAGGTGGCGATAAAGTCAACACAGCTGTTCCGCGTTTGCAAAAAAAAATCAGTTTTTGTCATTTAAAATGTTATTTGCAATTTCAAAATGTCTGCATTAGTGTGGCCAGAGGCTCTTTTACATTTTAAAATAATGAGCTCACAGTCAAATCGAAGTCATACATGTTATATTTGCGGATATTTAAAAGGGAAACGATCATTTTCAGCTTGGGCTTTCAAAAGCCCGGTGAGCTTATTGCAAATCTTAAATTCAGGGTATGAAGGAGGATCAGAGAGATTTAATTCAGGTTTAGTTTTCAGATCTCACTGCCTCGTTCGACTCCCATCGAGAAAAATGAGGTGCTGCCATCATATATATATATATATGAACTAATCATGGAGGTGTGATTCTCAGTGGGAGGTCACGTGATTATTTCCCATGCTCCTCTGACTCTCAGGTTCAGACCCAGGCCAACTTACCTCCCTCTCTGCTGCACTTTAAAGCCTGAAGGGGTCAGTACAGCTCACTCTTAGCTTCTCTGTGATTTATAGTGTTTGAGGAATCTGTGTATGTTCACGTAGGAACGCACACGGACTCACCTGAATCACTTCTGTTGCACAAGTTAGAATCAGCTGATCTGATGTGTTGAGTGGCAGATTTTGCAGAAACGGAAACGTCCCCCGTGGTTCGTGGGTTTGTACCAAACGAGCCGATGCAGGCTGCAGTGTGGTGACGCTCGGTTAGAAACATGTAAGGTAGAGATAACGATGTCATTTCAGGTTACACGTTGAGCAGTAAAAAACCTTGAGCCTCTGAGTTTCTGCTCCCTCTTGTGTTTTCACTGTTGACTCCACACACACACACACACACACACACACACACACACACACACACACACACACACACACACAGGCCTCGTGATGCCTGTTATGAGACGGAGGTTGGTAATGATATTATTCCCTGGACAGTTTGTGACCTTATGCTCTGTATTATCTCGTCTGTGATTCTTTCACTGACTCTGACAATAACATCCATGTCGTTAACCCCCTCATCATTGTAGCTGTCAATGTCTCCTCATCCTCACACCTGCAGCGTCTCCTGCTCCTACGTGTGTGTTTTATTTTGTGTGTGTGTGTGTGTGTGATCGCTCCTCACCGAGCGGGTGACACTGTGATCACGGATGTCATACGACGCACGCTGTATTCTCCAAGACAGCAGAAGACTCGCTCGCCCATGTGACTGCTGCCTCAAGGTTAACCTGTTACCATGGAGACAGGCCCACCAATGAAAATTCAGCAGACGGTTGCGATGTTGACTGCAAGCTTTTTGTTTTAAGGGGTGACCTATTTTTTTTTTTTCCTTCCTCCCCCCCTACTCAGATGCAGACCCCACTACACATGAGCACGTGCACACAGACATTCACACGGATGAAAAAGAAAAACATGGGAAGGCTACTCACACACACACACACACACACACACACAGGTTGTAAGCTTGTACACAAAAGAAGCAGCCTCAGATCTGAAATAAATCGTGAAAATATGTGTTAAAACGACACACTTTAAAGATCTTTTCTTATTTAATCCTAAGAATAGAAGTGCAGAGGTTTGTTAAGATTTTTTCTTTCCTCTCGCAGGACTGAAGACGAATATCTAACGTTTAAATTAGAAAGAAAGTCTTCCTGCGGCAGAGTGAACTGAATTCTGCCTCCTCTCCGTTTTAATAACTGACACTATGAGATAAAGCGAGCGTTTGTTTTTTTAAAGTGCCACTTTATTACAAAAGTATAAACTTGACTGACATTTCATGAATAGTAATCTTGATATAAAACATTACAATCTTTTGCACTTAGCACTTAATTACACGCTGTTGGAGTACAAGACCCTGTAGTCTGAATAGCAAACACACAACATTAGCTGCCACATTTAACTTAGCTGGGTTTTCCAAAAAAATGAAAAAAAAATAAAAAACAGAAACACACCGGAGCTTCGTGGCTTCAAAAACAACAAACAGAAATACACTGAAATTTTACATTTGCAGCTGTTTTGCAGTTTGTGTCACAAGATAAGTCATTCCAAAACACAATTAAACGTAATAGAAAAAGATAGATTTCTTGACACTGATGATATATTTATTATTCTTTCTCTTTTGTAATGTACATACACGTTGCATCAACATACAGTATAATCACATTGTTTTCTGGGGATATTTGGTCAAATGAACTCATCGTTTATACTGTCCAGGATTTTTGGATGTACATTTTTTTGTGTGTGTCATCCTCACGGTGATGCTTTGCCGCGCAGCGAAACCTTTTGCTTCGCATTTTCGTCAATATCCTCAATATTTTTTATTTTTTTTCAACACTGATAACAGAGAGGAGAGATTGTCCGTCGATGGAGCGATGACGAGAAGTTTTGCTAATACACATCAGTTCTACTGTAGCTTTTCCGAGCTGCACTATGGTGAAACCCAAAGCAGATTTGAGCACAAGGCGGAGACGATGAAGATGAACGGTCCACAGGTATGAGGACTGAGCGGAGGGGAGGGTCGGTGGGTGTTGAGTGGACTGTCTCCATGTTTAGAACTTGAGCAGTTCTCTTTAGTCTTGATTCATCTGTACTGTGTGTGTGTGTGTGTGTGTGTGTGTGTGTGTGTGTGTGTGTGTGTGTGTGT